GTTTGGTTAAGGCTGTTTTTCTCAGCCTGATGGAGACTGATTGGGAAAAGGGACAACCCAGGTCATTGGCGGTGTGCCTAACGTTGCTTCGTCCTGGCAGTGGGTGTGATTAGTTCCCTCTCCAGCATTGGAACATCTCCACCCAGTGGAAGCTGCTTGGAAGGAAAAACACCCAAAACTGTGACTCATTCAGACATGGAACAGGAGATCTTTGCTAAAGGCATTTCATATGGACTCAAGAGGAGCTTTAAATAGCTTTATTTGTTTCTTGTTCCATCCTGAAAGTTTTCTCTGTTTACCCCATGCTGGTAATTTCTCACTTAAGCACTGCAGTATTTTAAAGGTCATGAATTTGACTTCTGCTTTTCTTAACCAAAATTTTAGTAGCCATGAGGCCCTTGGATTGTTTATAAAGGATGGTCTAGGTAAATTGGAGAGTCTACAGTTTTTCAAAACATTCATCCTCTGTGTCTATGCAGTAGATTTAAATCCATGCAGTAGATTTAAAATTTTCTGAGAAAAAGACTAAAATTGCTTCTTTCTTTTAGGTTGTCTGTGTGTTGGGGGGGGGGGGGAGAAAGAAAAGTGGTTCAGATTTTATGTTTCAAAAAGGGAAAGTTGGTGTCGTGTGTCAGGTTTGTGGTTCCTTTCTGTAATTAAACCTGAATGTTGTGTGACCTCTATGGTTTTGTTTGTCCTCCCCATCTAGTGTGATATACAATGTTTGGTTTCAGATCCAGAAATTGTCCCTGTATCTCCACGGAGCAGTAGAAAAGTTCAAAATGAAGAGGTGGAAAGGTTCTCCCCAGTGGCAGTTCGGTTCACGGATCCTGTGGTGTCTCCTGTGGCCCGAAGTCCAGATACGAGCAGTCCTCCAGTTGCCTCAAAAAAAGCAATCAAGAAGTTGGAAGCCCAGTCCAGCTCTTCCAGATCTGAGTCCATGCACAACAGTCCCAAATCTTGCCCCACTCCTGAGGTCAGTAATGGATATATGAAGAGATTGACAGCTTTAGATTTCTGAACATAGAGATGGTTGGGCCATCTTTCAACCCTTTCACAATACAAAGCACATATGAGAGTGATCTGTGCTGTTTTGACCATTTTGCAAACCTATATCCTATATCCCAGTAAATAAGCCCAGATACTGTAAGTGAATAAGAGTAAACCTAGCCAAAAATAATTAACAACAAGCTCTAACTTTCTGTTTCCTTCTGAGCAGGTTAAAGGGAAAATTTTTTCTTCTCTTCTGAAGGGGATGAATTGACATAAAAAAATGCCAAACATTTGGAAGTATTTTCCCCATTGTCAGTGGTTTGTCCTTTTGCACTTTTACTCAAAGAGATAGTGACTAGATCTGTGTCTCTCATCTTGGCCATTTTAAGATGAGTGGACTTGAACTCCTAGAATTCTGAGAATTGAGGTTCACACATCTTGAAGTGCCCAGGATTGAGAAATACTGGTCTAAACAAATATATGTAGGCCTCAACTTATGAACTTACTGAAGCCCGATATGTCTGTGGTAAATCATGACGATTGTAAGTTGAGGCACCCATGTGACTGAGCTGATTTTATGACCTTTTTTGCAGTGGTTGTCAATGCCATGGTCATTAAGCAAGTCAATCCATTACTATTGGCATTTTTTGCTGAAAATATCATAAATCAGGCTGTGTCACACCAGGATGCTGCAACCTGTTGTAAAGGTGAACCAATTGCCAAGTGCCTGAAATGTGGTTATGTAACCACAAGGGGTCACACTGCCATCAGAACTCCAGAACCAGGTCACCAATACCTTTTGGGGTGGTGCTGGTGAGGGTTTTGTCATAAGGTCGAACAGTCACTAAGTGACCAGTTGTTAAGTAAGGACTACCTCTAAGTTCCTCCTCTTTTGCAAGACATGCAAAGCCCCAGTGCTTAATTGTACCTCTCCCTGCTCCTCCCCCGTGGCTCATCTATTTTAGAGAAAACATCTGCTAGGAAACAGAAATTCCCCCGTCCATGGAAACAGCAGAGTTGCAAGCTCTGATCACAATGATCACTGGGGACTCAACTTGCACCAAAATCAGCTAGTAACATTATTAACCAAGTGCTTGTTTCTCTAGAAAGGGAAAATAATTAAGGGTGCAGTGACTAAACAAATAAACAATAAGGGTCCAACTGGAATATTATGAGAGTTGCATTAAACTGGAGATAATATGGCAGGGGATGGATCAATTAATTTATTATAATGTATCTATTTATTATTTATTTACTCCATTTACACAGGCTACCTTTCCAACAATAAGTAGTATCTTTGTCAATAATAACAAAGATTGTTGTGTGTCACCTAGAGTTGATTTGGAGTTGGGCAGCACCTGAATCGAATATTTTTTTTAAAAAAAGTCTAATTAAAAAGCAAGTTTAAGAATTTACAGTCTAATTGAAACACAATTAATTTTTTTTTTTAAAAGTATCATCCAACTCAGCAGCAAATCTCCAGAAAAGAGCTGTTTGAATAAGAAAGATTTTGCTCACTGGTGGAAAAATATCAGAAATGAAATTAGCCTGATTTAGGAAAAGAGATAAGGGTGTTTCTGGAAATGAGGTAGAGCAGTGGTCTTCAAACTTGGCCCTTTTATGATTGTAGACTTCAACTCCCAAATTCCTCAGCCAGCGTGCCTGGCCTAACAATTCTGGGAGTTGAAGTCCACAAATCATAAAAGGGCCAAATTTGAAGACCCCCGAGGTAGAAGATTGCATACAATTAGGCCAATGGCCAGATGTTAACCTATTTTGGTTCGATGGGTCAAGAGACATGCAATTCTATCAAGTCTCGGCTACCCTTTTGGTTCCAGAATGGAACCAGAGCTTCAGCAACACCATGCAGCAAAGCCCCCAGGATATCTTCCATTTCCTTCTAGAACCCATTAGGGTCCATCAGTTGCTGGTGGACCACTCAAATGTGTCCAGCCTCCCTGCAGAGGGGGGAGGGCAGCATAGGGAATCTCAAGGGATCTATCTATCTATCTATCTATCTATCTATCTATCTATCTATCTATCTATCTATCTATCTATCTATCTATCTATCTATCTATCTATCTATCTATCATCTATCTATCTGTCTATCATATTTAAGAACCGTCCATCTCCCTCACAAAGGGATTCTGGGCAGTGTGCAAATAAAATATTAAAAAATATTAAAAGCATAAAAACAGTATATAAAATTTAATAATAAATTTAAATGTAAATGAGGCAAGGAATATTAAATTGGTGGTGGTGCATGGTTAGAATGCAGTATTGCAGGCTAAATCTGCTGACTGCCAGCAGTTTGATTCTCACAGGTCCAAGTCCATTCTTCCGAGGTCGGTAAAATGAGGACCCAGATTACTGGGCAATATGCTGACTTTGTAAACCGCTTAGAGAGGGCTGTAAAGCAATGCCCCACCAACCTTTTTGGCACCTGGGACCGGTTGCGTAGATAAAGGTTTTTCTGTGGACTGAATGAGGCATAGCTTTGCATGCTGCCTGCATCCTGAGTGTGGGGCTTTGTTCGTTTGCGTGGACCAGTTGCTGGGATGCCACGGACCGGTGCCAGTCCATGGACCAGGGGTTGGGAACCCCTGCTGTAAAGCACTATGAAGTGGTATTGCTATTGCTATTAAAAATAATTAAAAGGTGGGGTGAGGGCATTTAGGCCACTAACCAGCCCCATGGCTGCATGGTTCTCTGTGCATCTCAAGTAAAGTTGCAAAGCTGTGTTTTCACGCTTTTCCAGAAGGCCAGGAGAGTGGGGGCCCATCTCACCTCTGTAGGGGAAAGTGTTCCACAGGGCGGAGGCAATGACAGAGAAAGCTCTTTTCCTGGATGCTGCCAGTCAGAATTCTCTAACTGATGGGTCTGCAATATACCTCCCCTGCCTGATTGAGTGGGACGGGCTGATATAAAGGGATAAAGATAGTTTGGTAGGAAACCAGGCCCCACGCTATGTAGGGCTTTAAAGGTCATAAGCAATATCTTGAAGTGAACTGAATTGGAATGTGCTAAATTTGGTTCCTGAATTAGACTATATTCTAGGTTTGCATAATATACTGAGCTGTAAAATAACCAACTGGGTTTTTACAGCATGCTGAATCATTAAAACAAATAGTTCAAGGTTAAAATGAAGTTTGCTGTTAAACCTTTAGTTGCCTTAATTAAGCATCTTCTGCAAATACAGCCATTTCATCATTTTCTACATGCCCTTAGGTGGATACAGCCAGTGAAATGGAAGAATTGGACACTGACAGCATCTCATTGGTACCTGAGCAGGAGAACCATGATCCAGTAAAACTTCAGGTCTTCTTGGCTCGATATAGGTAGGGTTGTACAAAGGATCCAACTGTGACATTAAATATTAAGAATACAAATGATTTGTAACAAATATTAGATTTTATATGATGTAACGGGAGAATTATTGTATCTAGAGACTAATGGAGTTGTGTTTGGTAAGGAAGGCAATGAACAAGTTATGTATGGAAAGAGAAATATAAGATTAACTAGATGAATTTGTGCATCTTGATAGAATGTCTAATGTGTTAATTAAGAACTGTGTGTGACAAAACATGTACAGGGTCATGCTTGGACCAACTACAAAAATGAGCATCTAATATGAAATGATGTTATACTGTATATTGAGGTGGCTTAGTCTTATCAAGAGAATGAAGAGTGAATTGCAAAATAAATATATGAAGAAAGAGAAGAATGGGGATGATGTAAGAGCTGATGGAATTGATGAAATCCTCAAAAACAGAAAGATGGATAGGTTTACAAGAAAAAAAAGCAATGTATGGAAATAATGGAGACAAGAATGGTTTGCAAAATAGAACAGTATAGGGATGTGATGTGAATGTTATAATATAGGTGTAGTTACCTAGGCTTCCTTTCCTTTTCTCTTATCTCCTCTCTTTAACCTCTTATTTATTATTTCTTTTTATCTGCTTTATGTGTAATGTTTTACCCTTAAAGAGGTTAGCCTGGGAGAAGGGATATGCATGCATGGTTTTTCTCAAGGTTTTCCTATTCACCAGGTTTATTTCAAAGCAGGAATGAATGTCATCCAGATCATATTGGTCAATGATTTAGAGAATGTCGTCCATTCAGTTCAAAATATCATTCAGTTTACCTTCTAATGACAGCTGGGATATTTGATCTGCAGATACTTATTGGCAGACTTCAGCCTGGGTTGTAGAAACTGAAATATGTAGGAGATTAGCAGATAAGATCTATTCTCATGCAGCAGAGAATAGCTGCTCTTTTTCATTCTTCACTTAGATCTCTTTTTTTTTGTCTTGTTTTGAGCTGAACCACTGTGGCCACTCTGTGAATAATAAACAGGGATGACAGACCAGAAAATGCTTCAGAAGAAATTTTCATACCTGCTGCTCTCTAACTCACAAGATATTTGTAGGAATTTGGGTTAGGTATTAATCTGGCAATCATAAGGTGGTCAACTTTTTGGAAATCTGATCTTCTTTCTGAAGTGTAGCTAGTGTGTTTGGAATTCTCCTTTTGTCCCCATGTTCATTTTCACATTTTATGCAAAACTTTCCATACACAGTTTGTCTTATATTTCAGTTTCATCACTTAGTGTTCTTTTCTCCTCTTTTGCAGCATCAAAATTCTCATCAGTAACATAGCACGAAAAAGCAGGCTAGATTCCTAACATGTAACCTTTTTATCAGTGCACAAACACATATACTTCCATTATTAAATCCTGCACAAAAATAATCTTAGGCAGCCATAGATGTAAGTCCACCAAGTCTGGTTTTTTAATTTAGGTGCAGCATTTTTTAGTACATAGCTGTACAGAAATAATTGTGAAAGGAGAAAAAAAAGGAGAAAATTGTGAAAGGAGAAAAAAATACAAATAAGTTGCAATGGAACTATAAAGCAATCTGCACAAACTCTCATTTTTGAAGTTAAGGTTAAATAGTCCCTTAATTTAAAATGAACATTACAAGAGAGACCCAACTGGACCTTCTTTGTTTTTGCTTGAAGACGTTTTGCTTCTCATCCAAGAAGCAAAACGTTCTTCAGTTCTTATTCAGTTCTTCAAGCAAAAACAAAGAAAGCCCAGTTGCCTTTTGAAAAAGCACCTTTGGGACAACCATGACGGTCCTAGATGATTGAGAATCTTCATAGACAATTACAAGAGAGACTGCATAGAATGGAAAATCCAAAGCAAAAACAGGAACATAGAAAATACAAAGCAACACTATAGGATCATGTGGAAAAGACTCTTCATCTTTGGTATTGAATTTTGCATGTCCTCTTTGCCTTTGCTAGTATACCTTTGCAGACAGTTTCCCTGCCATCCTCATTTAAGAAGCCAATTCAGATGGTGGCCAATTTCCTTTTTGGCCTGTTAGACTTCAAAATGTTCTCCTTACATTCATTTCAGTTACAATCCTTTTGATGGCCCCAATGAGAATCCTGAGGCTGAACTACCACTTACGGCTGGCGAGTATATTTATGTTTATGGAGAAATGGATGAAGATGGCTTTTTTGAAGGTATGCTGTAAGATGCATGAAAAAATGGAGTTGTAAAAGAGGCACAGTATATAACAACTCATCAAAATAGTCTTGTCTATGGGAGGGGGCGACTTTAATAAATAAAGTATTGTTAATATTATTACTACTAAGAAAAGACCTGGGAGAAATTGTAGTCCAACTACAGTCATGGAAGCCATGGGATAACTTTGGGCCTGTCACTCTCAGCCCAATGGTATTTACCAATCATATATTCTTAATATCTCTATATGCTGGGCTGCCATTTGCAGCTATTCTTGGGCAGCCAGAAACATAAGAACTTAAAGTCTGGTTAAAGATCCAGTCTTCCTGTTTTTCCAATCATAAACAATATCTTGCAGAGGGGAGACATAGGTTTTTATCCAAATCAGGAGAAATGTTTTGGAAATATATTTTAAGTGGTCTGGGTTAGAAACAGGACCCTGGGAAGTTAGAGTGATTTTATCTAAGGCCACAGGTCTTCTGATCTCTCATGTTGTTAACTTCATCTTCAGGGGAGCTGATGGATGGCCGAAGAGGCCTTGTCCCTTCCAACTTTGTGGAGCGGCTTGCAGATGATGACCTGGTTACTTTCTTGCCTCAGGAACTCCATGATCTCTCCCAAAGCTCCCCTCTTGAGCGGAGTTTTCTCAGCATAAGCGTCAGCAGCGGAGAGAGAAGTGATTATTCATCGGAGGAGCTCAATGCCAGCACAGCTCCCTCTAGGCTAGAAGGGGACCAAGGAGAAGGAGATATTTCCATTGTTGTGCCTTATCCCAGAAAGGTGACTCTAATCAAACAGTTTGCCTCTAGCCTCTTGGTGACATGGGATCCACCACTGGTGCCTAGTGGAAGCTGCTTGGATGTCCAGAGCTACAATGTCTATGTGGACACTGAACTCCGGGAAAATGTGAAGGCCAGTTCCCAGACGAAGGCCATGATTGACAAACTGGACTTGAAAACAAAAGCCTATCGTGTCTCCATACAAAGTGTTTCAGAGAAAGGGAGCTCAGACAGACTGCAGTGCACCTTCCTGGTGGGGTGTGGTTTTGTCTTAGCTCCAAGTCAGCTCCAAGTGCGGAGTGTCAAGGCCACTTCCGTGGAGCTCTCCTGGATGTCAAGCAACAGCAATTTCCCACATACCATATACCTCAATGGGGGAGCATGTGATATAGTGAAGGCTGGAATATATTGGTACACTTTTCGCAACCTGAACCCAAACACTTCCTACATTGCCACAGTTGAAGTCCAGCCTCAACAGACTTTCTGGAAACCATTCCCAGAGGTGGAAGAGCAGGTCTTGTCCACAGAGATCCAGTTCACTACATCTTCAGCAGGTAAGTAAAGCTTTTAGAGATTCTGGAGAATTGGACATAGTATTCCAAGTGTGGCCTCACTAATGCAGTATAAAGTGGTATTATCACTGTTCAGTGGTTCTGAGATCACATCTGCCAGCTCTCCTTCAGAACCCTGGGATGTAATCCATCTGGTTCTGGCCATTTGAAGTCGTCTAGATTGGATAGATGTTCTCTTATCCGTTTCTTGCCTATTTTGATCTGCATTCCTACTTTGTCTCCCATGGTATCGCTTTTGGTAGGTTGGACTATTTTTTCCTTTTGCATGAAGACAGATGCAAAGAAGGATTAAGCAGTTCTGCTTTCTCCCTGCCGCTTATCACTTTCTTACCATCTTCTTCCATTAGTGGATTGACCAGTTTCTTGACTTTCTTCTTGTTCCTTTCTTATTGGAACAAACTTTTTTTTTTTACATTGGCCATTTGTTACAATCCTTAGTTCATTTTGAGCCTTAGCCTTCCTGACTCAGTCCTTATAGATTTGGGCTATTTGCTGGTTTTCTGCTCTCTTGGTTCTCTTGCTGATTATGTCCCTCTTTCCATTTTTTTTACATTTGTCCTTTTTGTTGCTTGGTTTTTCAGAGAGCTCTTTGTACAACCATGCTGGTTTCATCTGGAGTCTTTCGGTTTTTTTCTCTCTGTGACATTGTTTTTTGTTTGGACCTCTGCTTGAGCAGGGGATTGGACTAGAGGACTTCCAAGGTCCCTTAAATTCTGTTATTCTGTTATTCTGTTAATCTGTTACTCCTTTGGGCTCTCTGAGAAGTATTTTTTTCCTTAGTCCTTCAGTCTTAGGGACCTTAGGTCAAGCTTCCTATCATTTTTTTGGGCCAAATCGATTTTACCATTCTTCTGTTTCTGCAGAAGAAATAGCCAATTACTCTTTCTTCAGGGTCTCCAGATGCTCCGCTGGATGTTCGAGTGGATCCTGGCCCCACATCTGGTATTCTGGTCATCAGCTGGTTGCCAGTCACCATTGATGCTGAAGGATCATCCAACGGAGTGCGTGTCACTGGCTATGCAGTGTATGCTGATGGACAAAAGGTACCAAGTTGTTTTGGGCGTGGCTGGAAGAAAATTAGGACATTATCATTTCAACCCATGATAAGACATCAACACTGAACATGGAGGAATAGAATCTAATAGTGGCAGGCATATTCTTTTTATGTTGTAAGATTTGAAACATTTATCGTCCCACCTTACACTTCAATCTATCATTCTTTATCTATTAGATTTTATTTTGAATATAGGTACTCCTTAACTTAACAACCACAATTGGAACCAAAACTTCCATTGCTAAGCAAGGCAGTTGTTAAGTGAGTCATCACATGACCATGACTGTCATTAAGAGAATCACACAGTTGTTAAGTGAATCCGGCTGCCCCAGTTGATTTTGTCATAAACTGTCTGGGAAGGTCACAAATGATGATCAATAAATCAGCCAATCAGAATCAATCAGTCAATCAGAATAGAGCTGGGATCCTGCAACCATCATAATACATGCTAGTATCCATGCCTGTATTGCAGTTGTGACTGTGGGGATGCTGGCAACAGTTGTGTAAGGACTGGTTGTAAGTCACTTTTTTCAGCAGAGTCATAACCTCAAATGGTCACTAAATGAATGGTTGTAAGTCAAGGACTATCTGTAGTCCTTGTACATTTTTTTTAGCACACAGGGTAGACAGCTCTGATGGTTTGTCTTATATACTAATGCTTTATTAAAAGGCTCACTATGTGGCTTAAAGAACTTTGTATTATAGCTTTTTGGGGTAAGATAAATTATGTAAAGTGCAAAACACATAGAGAAGTTGTGAACAGAAATAATTAAAGGCAGGAAATTAAAAAAAAACTTTAAATTTAGTTTATACCAATACCACAGACTTTATCTCTCCTAACTTCTGTCCTTATAAATCATCCTTCTTTTCATTGCATATACCCATTTATATGTTGCTATTCTACCGTTTCCCATTTTTCTACTTAGAGAATAAACAATCCTACCCTCCTTTTTTTTGCAGAAGGTACCCCAGCCTTTATCTATCTTCCTACTTATTCAAGTTAATTACTCTTATTTCAGGTGATGGAAGTTACTTCCCCAACAGCTGGTAGTGTCCTGATCGAGATTTCCCAGCTGCAGATCCTCCAGCTCTGTCAGGAAGTGACTGTAAGAACTGTGTCTCTTTATGGAGAATCAGTGGATTCTGTGCCAGCTCAGATCCCCTTCGCATTGTTGGAAGAAGTAGATCGCTCTTCTGCATCTCAATTGCACTGTCACCCCTCCCAGCTTCTGGGTGGGGAAGGACAGGCTCTTCTTGTCACACGAACTTCTCAGGTTCCAGGGAAAGAACTGTCTTCTGCCACTAAGAACTCAGTTGCCAAACTCACCTTGCAGCCCACTATTACCAGTGAAAAATCTGGGGATCATGTGCATTCAGAGACATCCTCAAACGTCAAGGCTCCCTTGACACCAACAGTGCAGGCTGTGTCACCAGAACTCGGAACTCTTCCAAGAGAAGAAGAGAATTATCTTCTGCCCCCTGCAGGCAGTGTGCTGAAGGAAGATCTGGCTGTGCTCAGGAAGGCTACTCAGGAGGAATCTGGAGAAGACAACCAGGTAACTGTGAAATTCCTTCCTTCCTGATAGATAGGTAGAGGTTGGGGAACGGGGAGGAATCCATGAACACTCTTTCTGGCAATGGTATGCCACAATAGCTACTGTACTACCAGTGATGGATATAAAGCATTGGAGTTTGAAAGGGGAGAGCTGAGTTTGATTTTTTTTTTTAACCATGAAGTTGACGTGGAATCTTGGGGCAGTCATTAGCTCAGTTCATATATTGCACTAAGCCACAGTTTCATCATGATTTGTCTTAACCCATGTAAACCATAATTTACAAATCAGCAAAACATGATTTAGAAGTCAGTATCTGATTTCACAAGGCAAGGGATTATTTTTTTAGCTGTTTTTATGTTTTTTTCCCTAGTTTTGTATGCCACCCTGTCTGTTGGAGTTGGGTGGCCAATACGTTTAAATAAATAATAATAAACACGAACATAGTTTAGAGTCATGTGTGAATCCAACTTTTTTCAACTAACCAATTGTCAGCCCCACTAGATAGACCAGACCAGACCAGGAAACTAGATCCATAGGATGACTCAAACTACTTGTATTAAGATCAGCTATAATAATGAAATCTTGCAAATTTGATTGGGCTGTATCTCCTCCATTTCTTATATTCCAGTGAACCAGGTAGGTGTCTGCCTAAACTGCCTCTAAATATTACTTCATTTGTCAAGATTTTTTAAAAAATGTTTCCGCACCCTTTGCCTATATAACAGTTCTTGCATGTTTTGTATTGAACAGAGCAATAAAGCTATGTATCTTGTTCCACCAATACATATTTAAGACACAATCCATAATCCACAATCTAAACAGTAATCAGTTTAGCTTCTTCAGCAAAATTACAATTAAGCAAATGACACACAAAAGTCTGTGAGTATGAATCTTAGGGGATTTTTAGATACAATTGCGTTTCCATTTTCATTCATACTGTGTTTTCCTCTAATAACCAAGCAATGGTGTAGTATCAATTTTTACCAACCCCCTAGATATTTTCTTATAACTTTATAGGAATCTCCCTCTCCCCCTCTCCCCTTCTCTCCACTTCCTAATTAGAAAAAGAACATAACTGCTTATTTCACATTTAATATATAATATCTCTCTTCTTTTCTGCTGCGACAATGTACTCCCAGGAATTGCTGCTCACCGTGACAAAACCGGAGCCACACGTTTCAGACAACAGTGCTAGTAGCTTAGAGACCTGTGAAAGCTGCTCTGCAGAACAGGGGACAAATGCCCCATCAGAAAGAGAGCCAGACAACAATCAGAGCTCCCTGGAACCAAAGATACTAACCACGGACAGACCTTCCATGCAAGAAGAAGACGGCACTAGGGAGATGGGCCAAAATGAAGGACAAACTCCAGAATCTTTAGTTGAGTCTTCAGGGAGGATGAAGCTGTTGAAAGAAGGCTCCAGAGACGACTCCTCTCAGCTGGTGCCCAGGATCAGAAGAGAGGTCTGTATTCATTGATCAAAGGCCTATTTGGTTTAGAAAACCTAATGATCCATAACTTCACACAAACCGCAAAGCCCTTTGGTCTTCATGCAAGCGAGTGAATGTGCAGACATAATTATTGTTTATATTAACAGTTTGTAATATTTCCTGTCTGATGCCTGCTAAAAACCAAATCAGCCAGGATTTAAGATGTGCCTTTTTCTGACTTCTGGGGAAACTTTTGGCTAAAAGACAAAATAAAATTGCCTTAAATAATACATTCCAAAACATCAAAGGATACCCAGAGGCCATGCTGAAAACAAGTCAAAATGCGGTCAAAACTCTGTGTGCTATTATGGCTACCATCTTGGCTTTTTTTTTTTTTTTACCATGCCTTGCAGATACCTCCGAAAACATCCAGATCAGTTTTAAAATTAACATCACCCGAGGTATAAATAAAATTTCATATTTGAAGAGATATATTCAGTATGAAAGTGGTGATTTAGGAATGGGTTCTGTTAGTTATTCCAATTATACAACATTCAGTTTTTTTTACTAATAAGCCTTTCCTCTTGAATTTCTCTAGCAAGGAGAGAAAAGGTCAGATCCAGGAAACCGACCACTAAATCTTCTAACTGACCACAATCGTGGTTCTGACCTTTCTGATATTACGGAGGAAGAGGAGGAAGAGGACGAGAAGGAGGAGGAAGAAGAAAAGCCAGTTCCTGGTAGGCTAGGGGAGATGAAACGGAATCCAAGTGAATATTGCAGCAGAGAAAATGGAGACAAGGTATTCTTATTTTTGTTGTCTTTATGAAGCCCTTAAGGAGGAGTTGCAGATTTGCTCAACCCCTTAGAACATTTTCTTGCAATTATTTGCTTATTCCTGATATTCCCCAAACCCAGGGCACCTCCAAAAATTGCTGCAAATATTAATCTGATAATATTTAATATAGAAAAGGGGGAATAAAATGAAGAAACACAGGGAGCAGTTTTATTAACTGTATTTCATTAATTGAATTAAAATAACATACTTTTAAATTAAATTAGATTACAATAACATTTTGTTTTTGTCCTGGCCCTATAGACCTCTGCCTGAAAAGAGTGCATGTATTCTTTTGTACATTTGTATGGACTTTTTTAAAATTTCATCAGTCAAGGCAGCTTTCACAAAGTTCTCAAAAAGCACTCATGAAGTTCCCTAAAATCTCCTTCCTTCAGACTGTATTTTAGCCTTCCTCAAACTGATGCCTTCTAGATATGCCCAGATTGCAGCTTTCACTTATCCCAGCCATCATGGCCTCAGCATATCTGGAGGACACCAAAATGTGGAATGCTTAATCAAGTATACTCTTCACAATAGCTACAACCAGATGTTTTTAGAAAATCCACAAGTAGGGCAAAAGCATTATAAACCATATTACCTATATTGTACTCAGAGATAAGCAGTTCCATTTAGCTTTCACAATTATTTTCTACTGCCAATACTACTCTTGATTTAATCCCCTTTTAAATTTGTCAGATATAATGTCCAGTACAATAGCTGATGGAGATTAATTCTACAAATTAATAACTTAAGGTTCGGGTTTTAAAGGGTTACTAGAACCTTGAACCAGTCAGCTAACTCTAAGGAGAGTAAATTTAGGCCAAAATAGGCTGTTATTCCAGGTTTAAATTAATTCCCCCTACTTAGTTACTCCTCAACCTAGCAAAGAGTAGGATTACTAGATCCTAACCGCAATAATCTAGAGGGCCATCAAATGGCAGCAAAGAAAATATTTATTTTCCTGCTATCTAGAGGTCATCAGTAGCTCAGTTTATCCTCCTTTTTATATATATATAGTTTTCTAAGAAATTGGAGAGGAGCAGCCAGAAAAGTACTATGGAGGCTGGAAGCACAGAAGATGAACCTCCCAAGCTCCAGCACTGGCTCCAGCAAACAAATCATACTTATTTCTGTCTGCCTGTAACTAGACAAGGAGCCAAGGCTTGAAGAAATGTTATGATTTAAATCTTGAGTTAAGTCTTGGTGGTCCGTGGCCCCAAAAGGTTTTTAAAGTGGGTCCGTGGTGAAGAAAAGGTTGAAAACCACTGACCTAGGGCATTAGGCTCTTGCCAGAGAAAGTAGTTGGGGCCATGTATTCCAACAGTGGTGATTTTTGGCCTAGGTATTGTGACTATGTGCTGCCAAAACTGGCTCACCATCCATCCACTACACATAGGTTCCTAAGAAGGACTGGTCTGTCCTCAAGATGATTTAGATTTAGAGATTCTTTTACTGGAAAAGAAATTCCATCAGAAGATCCAAGTGTGGACTGAACACAAAATCCAATGGACATCAGCATCCATGCCTCTATAAAAGGCTTCAGGTATACATTTCTGGTGGTGCTTATTTTAGGAAACTGGCCCTTTCATCTTTGTGTCTTGTAGCAGTCCTGGTACCGTTCCTATAGTCGAATCCTACTCTTCGTTGCTATCTTCAAATGACTGCCATTCATGCAGAAACCCCTTTAGTAGATTACCTTGATTATTGAAGGAAACATTGAGCAAGGATTCACCAGGTTCTCTTTTTTGCAGAAATGTGTATGGAATTCAATGGACTCCATCAACTACTGCAGATTGGAGAAATCCTAAATTTAGGGTCTACTCCTTATCATAGAGATTTTAAAGAGCAGGCAGATGCATTTCAGGCCTCTGTGTTTGAAATTTCTGCTATGACCGGACCTATAGTTTCTGTTCGATGAAAGCTTCTTAGTGCTATCAGTCAAAAGACATTTTCAGGCAAACAAAAAGACATCACTATGGCCCTTTCAATGCTCTTGGTCAGTGATGGTGAACCTTTTAGAGATCGAGTGCCCAAAAACTGGCCCCGCCCCATCCTGCCTGCCCACAGAACCACTCACTGCCTCCAGGGCCCACCGCAGATTGCCCAGGCAGCCCAGCAGTGCCACGGCAGCCACGCCCTCTGCCCACACCCCACAGCATCAACTGTGCGCATTGGGGCGTGAGGGCGGAGTCTTGTCTACGCTGCCTGGCTGCCATGTCCTTGGCTGCGCTACTTTGTGTGGGCCACGCTCGGGGGCGACTCTCCTCCAGGGGGCTGCTGGTGAGGAGGGGGTTGCGGGCAGAGGCGAGGCTGGGGCAACAGCATGTGTGCCCACAGAGAGGACTCCGAGTGCCGCCTCTGGCACCCGTGCCATAGGTTCGCCACCACTGCTCTTGGTGATAGCTCCAACTTAACTTTCCAGTCCTATGTCATACTGATTTCATTTTTCAGAATCAGTTGCAAGCAACATTTGATCTAGTCACTTTTTCACAAGGGGAATTTTTTTAAAAAGAATTTCTTGAACGTGTAAAATAAAAATGAAAAAATGAAAAAAACACATGTAAATGAAAATGACCTAGTTTTATACTTTTGATGATGGTGGAAAACCCTGACTGGATGGACTTTCCCTACATCTAGAAGAGACAGAGCAGTAGAATACTGACTGTCATTGGGGTGACTGCACTCATCTGAAGAATTCCTGGTTGGGTTTCATGATCCTTGAAAGGAGGTTGACCAGGCAAATGTCATTATGAAAAAAGCTACAAAAAGCCAAACAACAGGAAACAACAGGTGTCTTTTTCGCGTGTGCTAAGTTCATCAGAACATTAAAAAAATTTCTCTTACAACCTCTAAATGCTTTGGACTATATTTCCTATAATTCCCAACCAGCTACTGTCAGCATGACTATTACCTAATATATGTGGAAGTTATGTAGGTGGGGAAAACTACCCTACATCCTTCCGTGGGAGGAAGAATGGTATATAAACGATAGTATTCATGATAATCATAATATAGATGGAAGTAGCCATGTGATATATAATACACCAAGAGATACTCCAGTTCCAGTTGTAGAGCTGGAACTTCAACAATTTATTTGCCTGTGTCCATTTTCCATATTTCTTTCTATGTAGAGGAATGGCTTTTTTAGCTTTGCAACATGGGTCTTGGCAATGGATTCTAGTAGGATCCAAACACTGAAAGAACCCCGCTGGAGGTTTATCAAAACTGGAATCTTGCTTTCAGTAGGGAAGCCCACAATCATGAAATAAAAACCTATGCTTTAGCAATGTTTGAAGGGTTGTTTTGCCTCTGAGCATGGCTCTTCCATTTAATTACCTTCATTCATTGCCACTGATTGACTTTTCACTTTGTGAATTTGTCTACTCCTTATTTAATGCCATCTACAGGAGTGATGGTAAGTGTTGTTTACCCACCTTTTAATGCCTAATTCCTCTTTCTCTCTTTGCTTTTTCCTTGATGGTCTGGTTTCTGGGTCTGGAGTACAGTTGGATCTTTGTGATACTGACAGTGATGAAGAAATCTTGGAACGGATTTTGGAAATGCCATTGCAAAAAAATTGCAGCAAGGCTCTGTTTAGTATTCCTGAAGTGACTGAAGAGGAGGAGGAGCAAGAACAGGAAGATGATGATGATGAAGGCTGGGAACCAGTCCTAAACCAACCTATTTCCATCCCTCTGGAAAAGAAGACCGTGGAGAGCTTCCAGAGTAGGCTTCCCAATCATACCAGAAGAATGCAAGGCCCTCTCTGTTCTTGGTCTAAAAGAAACCACAATCTTTCAGAGCTAATCTTACCTGAAAAGACCCTTCTACAGAAGTATAGAGGGGGGTGTATGAATGAAACATCCAGTTGCTCTGTAAGATGGGATGGTGAAGATATGACCTATCAGTGGGATGATCGAAAGAAACCATCAAGATCTCCACTTTTGGAAAGGAGAAGATCCAGTCATTGTAAGGAGAGGATCCGTGTCCCACCCCAGGGACATAGGAAGCAAAAAGGAGACATCCGAGAGCCCAGTGTTTCTATGCGGAGCAATTCCTACTACACTGGAGGTGGTCTTTACAGAGCGCAGAGCCTCACAGAGAATTTGGATGTTATCACCAGCCTTGAGGTGGAGGATGACTTGAAGCTGTGCAGCTGGGCAAGACAAAGGCCTGATCAAGTTCCTCCAAGGAGAATGATGCCCCAAGAGAAAAGGGAGACAGCTGTGCAAGGCCTCCCCCGCTGCCTCAGCCCAGAGAATTTGGAGATTGACATTGAGTATGATTCAAATGAGGAAGAGGATTTAACCATCACTTCCACACCAGTGAGCCTGTTGAGTTCAGATGGGAGGGCTGATGGATCACCAACAGATTGTGAGGAGGAATGGAGTGATTGCTCCAGCCAGTCAGGATCAGTCCAATCCAGTGGGCGACGAGAACTGAAGCGATCCAGTAGTTGGGAGGGAGAGAGCACGGATTGGAGCACATCCCCCAGCCATTCATCTGGGCATTGTGGATGGAGGAAGAAGGCCAATGTTGCCCCAGAAGAATGGAACAGGACTCGGGAGAAAAGTCCCTCTGTCTTGGGAGTCAGGCCAGAGCAGGCTTGGAAGGAGGGCCCACTTGTGCAAACATGGGTCTGTGAGATGCTTCCTTCATCAGCTGGCATTGTTAAAGCAGCTTGCCACAATTCTGACTGTGCTTTTGACCCTTTGCTCCTGTGCTTGCTTGCATTCTGCTTATCGTGTTGAGCACTTTACAAAATAGAGGCTTCCGTTTTTATTTGAAACTTACAGCCCATTTGTGTGATACTCTTTATTGGCTTTTCTCATATTTTGCTTTGGGATTGGCTACCAATCAGACATCACTGGCTGAAAATATCCAATGCAGTATTCGTCTTCCCCACTGATTTTTAGGGATAGTCTGCAAACTTAGCTATCCTTTATTGTAAATCCTAAATCTCATTTTTTTTTTTATTTGGAAAACCTTCCAGAAAGAGGCTGCCATCTGATCAGTTTGGTCTAGGAATAATTTATATCAATGTAACCTTGATTGATAAGATGTAGTGGTCCACAAGGTATAGAAAACTCAAAGGAAATGAGAATTTCCCAATTTCATGGCAGATACCAGATCTCACAATGAATGGGGAATATTTATTATGGTGTCAAAATGACAGATTCAGTTTAACAGCAAAACTGAGTCTATGGAATTTGCTTTGCTTTTGATCAGAGTTTTCTGAAAACACTTGCAGAAGAGGAATGCTGCATTCTAGCCCTTTGCATTTTGTGCTTTTGCTGCAGGGTGTAGCCAAAATGTCAGTGAATAAACACAGGACTGATTCTGCCAAGGGCTCTCTTTCAGGTGACAGGTAGTCCCGGGTTGTTGGACTCAACATCTTACCAGTCCCCTGTCCAGAGAAGCAGAAGATCTGCGAGAAAAAACCAAGAAGGGACCGCACCTCTCGGTGGAACTATTGGTGAGCTGGTTGCAGTTTCCATTAGGGCTGTTTTAAAGTGTGGTGTGTGTGGGGGGGGACAATTTCAATAAGAGTTGAACAAGGATGGCTCCAAAGGCTCCAAGGATGGGTCATTACAAGATCAGGTATGTGAAGGAGTTAAAATCATAGTATAAAGCCCATCCTTCCGAATTCGCAGGTGTAACACCAGGGCTAGGAATTCTCTCCTGATAGACAGGCTCAGTCCAGTTGTGGTTTGCTTTTGTGTCCTGGTTAGGAACTTGGAGGAGTCCTTCCCTTGAATCAGCAGATGACAAGGGCTCAGCACGGCTGTTTGTGGCTCTTTTTGACTATGACCCTGTTTCGATGTCCCCTAATCGGGATGCTGCTGAAGAGGAGCTCCCATTTCAAGAGGGCCAGATTCTGAAGGTACGAGCAACACCAAGAAGAGACAGAGTGGCAGGGCTCAATTCTCACATAGTAGGTGAATCCAGAAGTCTCTGATTTATTTTTTAAAAAAAGTTTACGGCTTGGCAGAATGCATGATTGTGGCCAATGGTTCAGCTGCAAAGTCCTCTGCTCAGAAATAATTTTATTGGAATAATTACAAATAACTGGAGAAGCCTTGCATCGCTCCAAGATTGTTCATCAAACTTAGAGGCACAGAACGCTAGAGAATACCTGAAAAAGTGAGCCTCAGTTTATTTTTTCATATTATCTGCCTTTATTTTTTACTCCAGAAAGGGCAGGGGGTGGGTGGGAGAGATACCTACTGAATCTCTCTCTCTCCCCCACACCAACACTCTTGAGGTGTACATGGTTTTCTTTCCTGTTGTTTCCCCTATCACAGGCCACTTAGCTCAATTGTGGCTTCATTCTCAAAACAGATGAGATTGGAAGAATTGTCCTCTTAAGGTTTTCAGCAGATGTCATTAAAGGAGGAAATGATGGTGGTGATTGCTGGATCTTTCTGGGCTGAATCAGAAGATTTGAAAAGAGGCTGTCATTTCATATTTCCAGTGCAGTTACAGGCAGTGCTTGACTCATGACCACAATTGAGACCAGAGTTTTGGTTGTAAGTTGTTGTAGCCTTTAAGCGGGTCACTGTGTGATCTGATTCAATTTTATGATCATTTTTATGACAGTCTGAGTCAGTATGGTCTCTTTAAGTAAATTATGTGATGGTTAAATGAATCATGTGGTTGTTAAGCAAATGCAACATATTTAGTACTGAGGAATGGCAAAAGATGATGCAAATCACAATCGTGTGACCTTGGGACACTGCAACTGGTGTGATCAACTTGTCATGCACCCAAAGTGTGATCATGCGACCATGGGGATGGGGTGGCGGTGGTCATAACTTTGAGGATAGATGATAAGTAGCTTTTTTAAAGTCTATCATAATGCTGAAAACTTGTTAAGCGACCAAGGACTACGTGGAGCGTGCTCTGTGGAACAGCGTAAGATCTCTGATTAAATGGAGCATTGTGAATGCATCCAACCAAACACAGAGGCAGCCTGTCTTACAATTTTCCCTGCCCATGCTGTGGGGAGAGCATAGGTTGTTTCATCTCCATGAGGATATTTGGAAAAGATACAAATATCATCATGGAGACTCTACACATCTGAGACGCTACACGTCCTCTACATGACCTGTTTTCCTTGTTACCTTCTGGAAGGAAGCTTCGTGGTATCCAAAGCAGAACATCTTGATTCAGTCACAGTGCTCATAGTAAAAAATGACAATAAAGGTTATCATATCTTATCTTATCTTATCTTATCTTCCCTTGCCTTGCCTTGCCTTGCCTTGCCTTGCCTTGCCTTGCCTTGCCTTGCCTTGCCTTGCCTTGCCTTGCCTTGCCTTGCCTTGCCTTGCCTTGCCTTTAAGAAATGTTAGTATGATTTTCCCAGTGTCACCACATGAAGCATCATGGCTGAGTAGAAATTTTACTCCTGATGCCCCTTTTCTAAGCCTTAGTCCACTGCTTATCACTACCTCATACTGGCTATGCAAAATTCCCAACGTTTTATTGATTTATAAAAAATTCCCACATATCATCTTCAGCTCATAACAACCTCTAGCTTTGATTTCTTATTTTCTCCTGGTTGTCACATTGAGCTCCATATCATGACCCTGACATTTCTGTTCTTGTGATTGATGGATAATTGGAATTGGAATGAACTATTCTGTGCCTTTGTTTATCCCAATGTTTCTCAACCTTGGTGTCTTGAAGATGTATGGACTTCAACTTCCAGAATTCTGGGAGTTGAAGTCCACACATCTTCAAGTTGCCAAGGCTGAGGAACATTGGGATATCCCATTATTGCAAATCTCTTGGGGATAAATTTAGCAATGGGTTGAAAGAAGTAAATGGACATAAGCAAATATTCTTTTGGCATTGTTGTGATTGATTGTCTGCCTCCCCCTTTCACAGATCTATGGCCACAAAGATGCAGATGGTTTCTACAGAGGGGAATGTGCAGGAAGAACAGGGTTCATACCCTGCAACATGGTGTCTGAGCTTCGGGTGGACAATGACAGTGCAAGAAAACAGCTGTTAGAAGAAGGCCACATTGCCACTGATATGCTGATGGAAAGTCTAGGTACTCTGTCCAAATTTATTTATCTTCTTGAAATTTGCCAGGCCAGGGTTGGAACATTTTTGAATGGGAAATCTTGCTGGTTTGCTATGTTCAGTAGAAAAAGTAATGGATGAGGTTATGACATATCCCTTTCAGATACATATGCAAAGCTATCCATAAAATATCTCACGTTTACCCATTTCACTGTGATTTGTCAGGGAAAACTTGGGTTAGCAAGGATCTTGCTCAAAGAAATGTCAGTCTGATGATTGAACAGTTGGGCCTTGGGGAACTAGACATTCTCTCGGATCTATATGATTAAAAGTGTAGATTATTCTATAGTAGTAGTCAAAGGTTGCATATAATTCATGGATTATAAGTGTCCACTTACCTGTTAAAGAATGTATAGTTAATTCGTTTGAGTTCTGTTGTTTCTCTGTCTCAAAGGTGCCCACATAATGAATTAAATACTGAACAATAAAATGCCAGGACAATGTTTAGATTGTTAGAAGAAGAAAATTCTATGTACAACATGGTGGAATCAGACAGCAAAATAACAGATTCTGCTTACATTTGGGAATAACGTTGTAGGGCTTTTCAGCTCAGCATCTTCCATTGTACCGGCTTTGTACCATGTGCTCCTGCCAGTTAGCTGAACGATATAATATTCCAAAATCTGGGGAGAGGTTTCAGGCACTTAGTGATAGCAGGAACATTTATATGCTTTGGGCACTTTGATGGTTCATTTTTTTTGAGAAATAGTCATGGATAGCGATGGATCTCCCAATCCATTGTCTACATCAGCGGTTCTCAACCTATGGGTCGTGACCCCATTTGGGGTCGATCGACCATTTCACGGGGGTCGCCAAGCAAGGCTGTCCGCCATTTTTTTTGTCCGCCATTTTTTTCCCCTTTTCCGGCGGGTGCCTTACCTCTCTTGGGCTGGGCCAGCTGGTGGTCGGCCTGCTCTGTCTCTGCCGCTTGCCAGCTACGCCTCGGCCGGCGCAGGGGGCGGAACCACGCATGCGTGGCACTCCCGGGCAGGGAAAGTCCTTGACTTACGACCGGTTGGGTAGTCCTTGACTTATGACCGGTTTAGTCCTCGATTTACGACCGGTTTAGTCCTCGACATACGACCGGTTGGGGGTCGCGGCATTAAAAAGGTTGAGAACCACTGGTCTACATCATACTAATCCAGAAATAAGCCTAATAGGAGAATGTGGGTTGTAGAGAATAATTTACTAAGTTATTGACTTGTATTGCTTGTTAATTTAATTTGTTTTGTTTAATTGCAGGGAATGGTGCACTTTCTCCACCTCCACTGCACCCATCAAATCGTCCTTCAAAGCCTCGACGATCTAAGAAAGGTCAGTGCCATGTTTTGTGATAGAAGCTGCTGATACCTTGCAGCCATCCTCTCATCAACAGGATTGTCTTTCTTTGGTATAGTTTGTATTTATTTATAATATTTATTAAAGATTTGCAAAGAGATAAAAGATGAACAAGAAATAATCTAAAGTAAAATTAAAGAAAAGAAAAAGAAGAAATAATGTGAAGTGAGAAAGTAAGCAAAGTATGGAAAGAAATACAAACAGAAAAAAAAGAAAAGAAAAATCACTTCCTTCAGGCAGACACAAACTTATCCTTTCTTTGCTCTCATTAACTTTACATCGTAATTTTTTCTTTCTCATATTCCACCTTTTTAAATCAGTAAATCCATAAATCATGTGCTCATTTTTTTCATTTTCAGCAAAAAGTCCATAAAAGGTTTCCAATCTTCAATGATAGTACTTATTGGATGAGCAGTATGGTGACCTAGTGGTGAAGATGCTCACCTCCAGCAGATGTTTCTCTCCTAGGGCAGGAGTAGGCAACCTTGGCTCTTTTATGACTCGTGGACTTCAACTCCCAGAATTCCTGAGCCAGCCATGCTGGCTCAGGAATTCTTGGAGTTGAAGTCCACGAGTCATAAAAGAGCCAAGGTTGCCTACCCCTGTCCTAGAGCATAAAGAAAAAAATACCTGCTGCAAACTCTGCATGGCATCTGGAAAAGCATCTGGCTAATAAACACTCAGCTCCATCTAGGCATCCCAATTCTACCCTAAATTAAGGGATTACAGGGTCATAAAAGGGACTAATAAAAGTACTTGTTGTCTTAAACAGGATTATCTTTTATGCGAGTTCTGCATATCCATAAGTTGGCCGGAACTGTATGTTTTCATAGGATTTGTGTAAGCATTTGCATTTAGCCAGATCATTCCACCACTTTCCAAAATAAATGTTCTTCTTCTTGGCAACTGCTTTGCTTAAGACACACTGGCAAACAAACATAGCTCACTCATAATATCTTTTGTCCCCCAGAAGCAGTCAGGGTGGAAGATCAGGTTCCTGATTTAGGTAAGTGTTGCTTCGGTTTATCTTGATACTCCTAGGTGATTGGTTGCTGCAAGGAGATTTATGCTAGCTCTCCCAAAATATAAGGCATCAATTGTGCCTTACAAAAAGAAAGGTATCTCATCTCACTCTTCACTATTATGGGCTACAGCCTGTGGTGGGATTCAGCTAGTTTGCACCACTTCGGCAGAACCGGTAGCTAATTTTTTGTTGCCCAGGCCCAGAATGGACTTCTGGAAGTGGCATCTACACAGAGAACCGGTTGTTCACATATTTGAATCCCACCACTGGCTATAGGGATATCCTAAGAGGGCATAAAAATGTCTCTGTGATTGTAAAATGGTAGAACGATGCTTCTACGTTTCATAGAATCTTATGACCTAGGCTGTCAAGTTTATCCTCCTGCTCAGAGCAGAAATCCAAGCTAAAACATCTCTGTCAAATAGCTGTTTCGCCTCGTCTTGAATATATAGTTAGTCCTTGACGTACTGTATGACCATAATTGGACCCAAAATTTATGTTGCAAAGTGAGACATTTGTTAAGTGAATTTTCCCCCATTTTATGACTTTTCTTGCCACAATTGTTAAGTGAATCATTCAGTTGTTAATAACTCGGTTGTTAAGCGAATCTGGCTTCTCCATTGATTTTGTTTATCAGGCGGCTGCAAAAGGTGTTCACATGATCCGGGGACACTGCAACTGTCATAAATATGAACCAGCTGCCAAGCATCCAAATTTTGGTCATGTGACCATGAGGATGCTGCAGTGGTCATAAGTGTGAAAAATGATTATAAGTCACTTTTTTCAGTGACCTTGCAACTTTGAACGGTCACTAAATGAACTGTTGTAAGTCGAGGACTACCTGTATTCAGTAAAAAAGAACCCCTTTCCTGTCTGGGTAATTGGTTCAGCTGTCAACATGTTCTTATTGTTAGAAAGTCAGTTTTTAAAAAATATTTAATCAGAACCTGCATTCTTGTGCCTGTTCATTATTCTATGTCCTGATCTCTAGAATGAAAGACACCACATTCTGTTATTTTATGTGACAGTTTTTGGTTAGATGATTACCTTGAGTTATTTGTTTCTCAAGGTTAAACACATTCAATACCGAGAAACAAAACTTAGTTTCTGTTCCTGCAATCATCCTCACTGCTTTCTTTGAACCTGTTCTGAATCTTATTTAAAACGTGGCACAATAGTCAACGTGGGCTGTGACTAATGCATAATTGATTGACTGATTGTGTGCCATCAAGTTGTTGTCGATTCATTAACCACAAGATTTTCTCAGTGATGATCAGTCCTTAAGCTGATCCTTCAGATCTTGTAACAGTGCATCCATCAACCCCATAACTAAGTTTATTTATCTGGCTGTTGGTCATTATCTTCTTTTTCCTTTGCTCTTAGCCACCATTCTCCAGAGAACTAGATCTTTACATAATGTGTCTGAAAGTACAGAATTACTTCCTATGTTTTGGAAAAGTTGGTTCTGTTGAAGCAGACTAAAACCGAATCCCCCTCATAGTCATGCTACTACTTCATATTCCCATTTCCTGTCTGGAGCATTTGGTTTTTATTTCCTGTCTGACTAGGAAATGACCCTTAGTAGAATTTGAAGGCATAGAATCTATACTGTCACAGTCTCAGAATCCAGAGTAGAGAAACTGGATTTTCAGTAGCCAAAATCAAGCCTCTATAGACCACCAAGACCCCCCCCTTTTAACTAGAAAATCCAGAATAAATTAGGAAGTGTATTTTGAAATTTACAGCATAAATGATGTAAAAACACTTCATATAAATTTTGTCAATGTTTTGAACATGCGTCTAATTTATGTCTGTCAGAAAAGGATTTTTTTTTCTTGGTAGAAGATTGTATCATCTCTTGGATACGGAAGATCATAAGTTCATGACTAGGTTCCAATGAACAGATAAGAACTTTGTTGTATATTAAGAGAGACTCTGCTTTAAAGGAACAAATAAGTTTTTTTTTTATCTAATGCAACTTCCCATTCAGATCTGCTAGTTTGACATTTCATTTCTGGTATAGAAGCACCTGGAAAGCAAAATCCAAGTTCTGAGGACCCTGTAAGAACAATGGTGGCCATTTTTGACTACAATCCCCAAGAGAATTCTCCTAACCCAGACACTGAGGTGAGCAGAGGCGGCTCTTTTTTTTTTTAACCTTTGCAGCACTATTAGAAGTGGAGGTATGAACTGCTTAGCTTTGTGTATCGTTTAAGGAATTGCCATGGGCCCAATAAATCCTGGAGATTGCCTTGTTCCTTTCTGGGTTTGCAAAGTTGCTAGTTTCAGTGCCTAAACTGAAAATGAAAGTAATCCCTTCCTTCTCAGTTGGTTCTGTACTGATTTTCTCCTATTGTATGTGTGCATGAGTTGAAAGAAAAAAGAAAAACAGAAGAAAGGCAAAAGTAATAATATAATAAAGAAAGAATATAGAATTGCTCTCAGTGATGAGATAGGTGGTGTATAAAATTTATATGTGTGTGTGTGTGTGTGTGTGTGTGTGTATGACAGAGAGAGAGAAACTTCCAACCTTCATAACAAGTAAAAACAAATTTAATAACTCTTTACCCTCTCTAAAATTACAAAATCTCCTCATCCTATATCACATCTCTTATGTATAAGCAAATCCATAAACTGTAATCTTTTCAGTGATTTTCTACTATTATTCTCAATGTTTTCATCTAGGTTGAACTCAGATTTTGTGCTGGGGACGTTGTGACTGTGCTCAGTTCCATGGATGATGATGGGTTTTATTATGTAAGTATCATGTCATCATTTTAATTCACATGGTTTAAACAGTGAAATAGCTGGTAAATCAGAGGGCTGCCTTGCTGTGGATGGAACTGGCAGTGTCATTATTTTTATTTTAAGAGCTCATGGGATATATATATATATATATATACTATATACTACCTAAAGTCTTTTGTCTGTTTGATGGTAACCTTCAGTTGGCTGAAATGGTTCATCATAGAGCAGTGGTGGCGAACCTATGGCACGCGTGCCAGAGGCGGCACTCAGAGCCCTCTCTGTGGGCACGCACGCCATGCCCCGGAGATGGCAACCGTCCCTCTTCAACCAGCCACCCGCTAACTCGCCGAGGTCCCACATGGCCGGATGCATCCCAGCACCCATGCACTCACTGGCCTCTGTGTGCGGGGGCCGATGGTGTCAGGCAGCAGCCGCCCCGGCCCCTGCCTCACCTTGCCCTGTGACAATGGCACCCCCGCCCTGCCTCGCCTTGCCTCACCCTGCAGGACGAGCTTCCTGCCCACCGCCCCACCTGCCAGAGACCCCCTGGATCTCCCCTAACCCTGCCCGGCCCCCACAGGCGTCCCTCCCCATGAGCAACATCAAGGTGATCACGCACACCTTGGCCACACCCACCCAATTTGCCATGATCACCACAGCCACGTCTACCCAGTGGGCCATGCCTACCTGGCACCCGGCGATAAATAAATGGGTTTTGGGTTGCAGTTTGGGCACTCGGACTCTAAAAGGTTCGCCATCACTGTCATAGAGCAACAATTTTTGAATCAATGTACTTCAAACAGGTTTATTTACAGAATGCATCTAAAATCTGAAACCCATGACTCCTATTAGTCTGAAATTTGGCCATTTCAATGCTGTCATGCTGCTGTACCACTGCACAGCCACAATCAACCTCATCATGTAATTGTCATTTCCAATGCTCCCTGCCAGCTTCCTGCAAAGAAAGTCAATGGGGAAGCCGGTAGCAAATTCAAAGTCATTCCCACAGGATCTTTTTGCCCTCTCTTTGAGTAAGACAATATTTCTGAAATCCACCAGGCCACAGGTGGATTTCTACAATAATTATTGCCTTCCAGAAAGTATTGCTGATATCAGCAGAAGTGAGGGATCTGTGTGTTCCAGTTTGGAAATGAAAGCCTCTGCTTTTCTTCTGAAAGTACTCCTGATCTTTTGACAAGTACATAGAGTAATAGGCAGAGATCCAAGATATGAGATATATCACTAGTCCATCACTTTACTTGTGAATATAACATGCACAAGAGCTTGATGGTAGGAAAAAAGTAGGGTTGTCCCTTTCTCTGTATGGTTTTGAATCATCAAGAGATCTCCAACCAAACATTTCCCTTCTTTGTCTGCAGGGGGAGGTAAATGGACAGAAAGGTCTTGTTCCATCTAATTTCCTGGAAACTTTGCCATCAGACGGAGCACAGGCAAGTGAGCCAAGCCTTGGAAAGCAGGTGAGGGAGACATGTTGCCTGATTGGGACTCAGATGTGAAAAAGCGTTTTTATCACAGAACTGGGATGCCAGCAAATGGGTGTCTTTTTCTCCATCCATGTATTCCACCAGCCCAGATACTGAGCTATCTTTGTTTCATTTATCTATTCTTGTATGCTCCTGGCATTCCACAGCGAGTGAGAAAAAGAAGAATCCAGTGATGCATGTGAGAAAGTCAGAGGAAGAGACAAAGGAAGAGAGAAATCATGTAAGTCCCAGATCAAATCCTTCCAGAAGTCTTTTTGTCAGTTAGTAAATCTTTTATAACTCTGGACATTTTGGTTCAGGATGAGAGCAGAAACAAAATTTTCCTTCCTGTTCTGCCAATCAAGGGGCCTACTTTGAACAGATGCTTAAGAATATCAGAATAGAATAGAATAGACCTTGGAGGTCTTCTAGTCCAGCCCCCTGTACCATTTCAGACAAGTGACTGTCTTGTCTCTTCTTAAAAATCTCCAGTGATGGAGCACCCGCGATTTCTGAAAGCAAGCTGTTCCACTGGTTAATTGTCCTCACTGTTAGGAAGTTTCTCCTTAATTCCAGGTTGCTTCTCTCTTTGGTCAGTTTCCAACCATTGTTTCCTGTCTTGCCCTCTGGTGCTTTGGAGAATAGTTTGACGCCCTCTTCTTTGTGGCAGCCCCTCAAATACTGGAATACTGCTATCACGTCGCCCCTGTTTCTTCTTTTCTTTAGACTAGCCAAACCCAAGTCCTCCAGCCATTCTTCATATGTTTTAGTTTCCAGGCCTTTGATCATTTTAGATCTTTTGAATCTCCCCTCAGTTATTGCCATCCAGCAGAGCTAGTGCTTGCCTACGGCTGGTGTGAACTTGGTATAAAGCTGGCTCTTTATATCAAATTGTCAGCCATAATTATATTTTCAATGCTCCCTGCCAGTTTCTTACAAAGAAAGTCAATAGGGATGCTGATAGGAAGTTGGAAGTCACTCCCACTGCTTTTTAACTCTTGGTTTAGGTAAGGAAATTAGAATAGAATAGAATGATATGGGAAAAATAAAGTTCATAAATATTTCCAAAATCATTATATAAGAAATGCATTGTTAACAACATGGCAAAAATAAAAAGTAAAATATATTTAAAAATTCCAGGGTGGTTGTCAACAATGGAAGCATTTGTACACCCAAATTTAGTGGACTTTGAAAAAAATCTGGACATATAGAGATATTCTAAACTCTGAAGGAAATTTAAAATCTAAACAAGAAATGGAAAATCAGGTTATCAACTTAACAGGATGGACACATTTACAAATGCAAACTAGATATGATAAAGATGTTAAAATGTATGGATTTTATAAGGAACAAACTGTGTTTGATAAAACCTTGTTGACTTCGGATGAAAAATTAATTAAGAAAATGTATAAATTTTTATTAACTTTAGAAATGGAAAGTGAACAAGTCAAAGAAACAATGATAAGATGGGTGAAAAATTTTGGTTATAATATAGAATTAGAAAAATGGGAAAATTTATGGGAAAGAAACTATAAATTGACAATGTCAACTTCCTATAAAGAAAACTTATATAAAATATTTTATAGATGGCACTTGCCACAGCAAGATTAGCAAAAATGTTTAAAAATATGTCAGATAGATGTTGGAAATGTAAACACAAGTCAGGCATGTATTATCATGTTTGGTGGGCATGTGATAAAGTAAAGAATTATTGGAAAAAGATACATACTTGGCTAGAAAAGATGTTAGGAGAACATGTTGATTTCAAACCTGAACTTTTTTTATTAGGTATAATGCCAGAAAAGACTAACAAACAAAGCTTATACTTGACTTTGCATGTCACAACAGCGGCAAGAATTATATTTGCGCAACACTGGAAAAATGAAGGAATACCATCAGATGAAGAAATAATTTAAAAAAATATTAGAATGCGCAGAGGTGGACAGATTGACTATGAGACTGAAAGAAAAGGAAGAAATGGACTACTGTCAAACCTGGGACTTATTTTGCCATTGGCTAGAGGAAAGAATAAAGGATTAGGAATTAAATATGTATTAGCATGTAAACTCAGCCAGCACGTTGGTTGAAAAAATTACTACTATTATGTATGGGAATAAAAAACTTCTACGCAGAAAGAATAGAATAGAATAGAATAGAATAGAATAGAATAGAATAGAATAGAATAGAACTGGAAGGGACCTTGGAGGTCTTCTAGTCCAGCTCCCTGGTCAAGCAGGAGAACCCATACCATATTGGATCATAGGTGAATTCTACAATAATCATAGGTGAATTCTACAATAATTCTACAATAATTATTGCCTTCTAGAAAGTATAAGAAAGGCTGAGTGCCAAAGAATTGAGGCCTTTGAACTTTGGTGCTGGAAAAGATTCCCGCGGGTCCCCTGGACTGCAAGGCAATCACACTGATCAGTCCTAGAGGAGATCAACCCTGACTGCTCTTTAGAAGGCCAAACCCTGAAATTGAAACTCAGGTACTTTGGCCACCTAATGAGAAGGAAGGACTCACTGGAGAAGAGCCTAATGCTAGGAAAGATTGAGGGCAATGGAAGAAGGGGATGACAGAGAATGAGGTGGCTGGATGGAGTCACTGAAGCAGTAGGCATGAGCTTAAATGGACTCCAGAAGATGGTAGAGGACAGGAAGGCCTGGAGGAACATTGTCCATGGGGTCGCGATGGGTCAGACACGACTTTGCAACTAACAACAACAACAACAGAAAGTATCACTGATGTCAGCAAAAAACAGGAATTTGAGTGTTCCAGCTTGTAAAGGGAGTATCTGCTTTTCTTCAGAAAGAACTCTTGTTCCTTTGACAAGTACATGCAGTAATGGGCAGAAACCCCTCTGCATACAGCATTTGTGCTACTCCCAGATCCGTTTTGTACCCATGTGGTCACCTGTCATAACCTTCATTCTGTAGTGCAAGGGTTGTTGTTGCAAAACCAGATCTTCTGTAATATGTTTTTCTGGAGTTGCTAGGTGAACAATTTCCTACTGGATGGAATTGCGTGTTCATTCCACCCTGGGCTCTCTCTACTTCTAATGGCAACTAAGCAATCAAACCACCCTGTTCCTTGTCTTTTAGATTTAATGAAGAGATTGCTTGATAGCACTTACTTGCAGAATAAATTAGTTCCCACTTGCAGTAATCATTCCTATAATGATGGCACATAGAGATTAAACAACACCTACATATCATTCAAAAGAGACACTCAAAATGCCATAAAGGAAACAAAAAGACAAAACACCTTATCACCAGCAATCAGCATGCAGATAAGTAGAGATGAACACCAAGATTAATACTAGACCAACAGTCAAGTAGTAAACAATATCCCAATCAAGGAACTACCAACTCAGACACACAAGATAACAATAAATAACAGCCTAATTAAGGAACTACCAAGCATACTCCCAGCAATACTGACAGAGCAAGCCCACTAATATATAAACAGAGTGCAACCTGTAGCAATTGTTCCACCTATTTATAAATCCCTGAACAAACGGGTAGCACTTGCAGATAGCATATATAAAGGGAGCCAAGTTTGATGTTTGTTATGGACCAGTTTCTGCATTTTCTCATTGATCAACTCTTAATAATTGCTCTAGGAAGCAGGCTGGCTTAAACAATTGCTAGAGATTTGGTGATTGAACATAGTAGTGATGTGGAGATGGTCATAAGCAATTTTGTTAGGAGTGAACTTGCAAAGAGACAGTCAACTCAAGGCCTCACTCTCTGCATGCATTTTATTTATTATTAAATATTTTAAAGCAATATGTGAAAGAGAGATGAGTGGTGCGGTGGCATAGAGGTGCAGATGCTAACCTCACACTCAGGAGGTTGAGAATCCAATCCTAGGCAGCGACAGATGTTTCTCTATCAGGGTGCAAAGAGAAAATATCTGCTGCAAACTTCACATAGGCATCAGGGAGGGCATCCAGCCAGTAAACACTCAACTCCATTCAGTCACCCAAACTCCACCCCAATAAAAGAGATTACAGGGTCATAAAAAGAAAAAATACATGACAGATAAAATATAGGTAAAAAGAATACAAAAGTCATATAGAAGTAGCAAAACACAAAACCGTAAACAAAGGATCTTAAAACATCACGTAGAGCAGGCATGTCAAACTTGCGACGTCACGTGATGTCGCGCAACGTATCGGGACTTTTCCCCCATTGCTGGTGGTTTTGGCGTGACGCATTTGGCCCGGCAGTTTGACATGCCTGACGTAGAGTGTAATTTTCCAATATATCATGAATTATAACATACATTGTATCATTTTTAAAACTAGCAACCACTAGTAAACTTTAAGTCAAGTGCACATATTAAGAACCAACATCAATATGATATAAACCCGATTGACAATATGTATAATAAATGTAATCAATTCTGAAAATAGATTCAAATTAGATTTTTCCATGAAGTATAGGCTCTGTACACACACACAAAATCTAAATTTGAATGAAATGCAAACCCAAGTAGTGTTATAATCCAGCAGTGGTTTTTAGTTAAAACTGAAATGGATATCAGATTTATTTGTAAAGCTTGAAATTATTTTGGATATTGAATTATTTATTGTTGAGGTAAGGACACAGTGTGAGATACATGCAATATTTTGTTTCTCATATTCATTTTCTTTTTATTTCACAGTGGTATCCAGTAGATCATCTGATATACCTTCCATTTTTGCTTAGCACCTGGACCGTCCACTGCCTCAGAGTCTCAAGGTTGGGAGTCTCTTGGGCCTCTCAACCCTGACACCTGCCCTTCGGAGTAAGAAGAAGAACATATTTCTGAAGGGGGAGGGGGAATTCACCCCAGGTCAAGCAAGAAGGATGGTGCTGAGTTCAGCTGCCAAAGAATGTTGCAGTAAAAAAAGAAATGAATCATGATGTAATCCACAATGGCTTTTATTTCCATGGATTGCAAGATGTGTCAAGTGGTTTGGGAAGCAAGTATGAGCTCCAGAAAGGGGGTTCTGTAGAGACATGTTACTCACAATCACCTCTCCAGCATGTGGTATTGGCTGTAATGTAGGTCAGTGGATGTTCTCTTTTTATCTTTCTTCCAGAAAGTATCTCCCTAGTTTTGGAAATCAAAGCTGCTTTCTTAGGCCTTTTCTCTCAGCATATCACTTCTCTCAATCCAGAACTTTCTTTTATCGTCTCTCCTCAACCAGTTGGAAGTGGACATTTTTTCCCCCTGGGAATTGTCCTTCCCAGAAAGAATCAGTCAAGGATCTAATTTGGGTGGGGATGGCTGAAGGGTGGTTGAATAGATATTACCCAGGAGTTCCTGCCTGAGTCTTCGTGTTTGCAAGTGGAAGATTCACACAACTGTCTTCATGTGGATTCTTGTTTCGATACAGCAAGTTCTCTTTTTGTGGTATCTAATGCTAAATTGGGTATCTTGTGCATTTCTGTCCCTGAGTAGAAATCAGAGCATTTACCATTTGATGATAAATTAAGGACCTATTGATTGCCTTGAGGTACATAACATTGTACAGTACCACCTGATAAATAATTTACTGTAATGTCGCTAATCATTCCTTGGACATCAAATGTGACCAACAAGGAAGTACAGTAGTGCATATTATCAGACATGTCATTGGAAGGAAAAATCACAGAATTGTATCTTACTTGTTTTGGCCATGTCATGTGGGGGAATTCACTGCAGAAAACAATTATGTTTGGAACAGTTGGTGATAAAAGGAAGCCAAGCCACTAAAGAACATGGTGGCTGGACACCATCAAAGCTGACACCAGCCAGAGCATAGAAAAACTCAAAGAAGTTGTGCAAGATTGGAAGAGGTGGAGAGGCCTGGCCATAGAATCGTCA